TTCACCGGCTGCTTCTTCGACCAGTTTGTCGGTTCTCGCTTGTAAGTCTTCGATTTTGTGTCACATCAAACATAAATCGATATGACAGATATGAATTCATTTCATTGTTCACACACAGATAAAGATCCTTCTTACAATTCCTACTTTCTTAATAATAAAGAATGAAAATAATTAACAATAATATGTATGATCTGCCCTATAAAGCAGCTGACTAAAATCAATAGTAAATAATAGTATAGTGGCCAATAGTATGACATTCTAACAAGTGATGAGTACTTTTGCCTTCTGGACAAAGATGATCAATAAACCGGATTTGAAAATAGTTGTCCTTACTTGGTACATATGTTCATAAGGAGAAGAATTTAGTTTTTATAGTTTTGAGATAGGAAGTCTAAATATAAGAGTCTTTAAGACCCATTTTAACTCTCTCTCTCTCCTCATTTATTATTTTATTTATTGTTCTCTTGGGTTCCGAGTAGAATATAGGGCTTCAACAGCATGTGTCTCCACTTTGTCCTATTTGTACTGTACTCCTCTTTATCTGTCCCCACGGTTGCCCACAGTCTCTGTTCTCCTGCTTGCACAATCTCCTCCATGTCAGCCTCCAACTAATGCCCAACTCGTCGCTTTCAATTCACCTTCCACTAGAGCAATGGCTTCGCGCACGACTTCACTCGATGGCCTTCTCAGTGTGCATCCAATCCAACTCCATTTTCTCCTACACATTTTTTGAGCAATAGGTTGCTGATTGGTTCGTCCCCGGAAAAAATTTTGCTTGCGTCTAAACGGATATAGAAAAATTGCTGGCATCAAGGCACTTACTTCCCCAACTAGATCGAGACTCTGAGTCTCTATTTAAGGAAGAAATAGCGAAACAAGTATCTGAGGTCGACAACAGGACTTCCCCTGAGGTAGCCTGGCACAACATACAGTTAGCTGTAGACACAGCTGTAAAAGCTGATAATAACCTGAAACCAAAAGTTAGTAAGAGCCATTGGATCTCTACCGCCTCATCCGAACTGATTGACGCAAGAAGACTGATTCCAGCAAGCTCCGATTATGATGAGGAGCGAAAGGTACTCAAACACAAACTAACAAGAAGTCTTCGCAACGACCGTGAACAGTGGTGGATGACAAAAGCGAAAGAGATGGAAAAGGCATCGGCGAGTGGTAACACCAGACAACTATTTAGACTTATCAGGGAAACAAGTGGTAAAAGGCAAATGATAAGTGAAAAAATCTCTGGGGAAAATGGCACCAGAATTAGCCCCCAGGATAGACGACTGGAACGCTGGAAAGAATACTTTGGGGAGCAGTTTAATTGGCCTACAGCCACGCCCAATTTACCGAACATGTAACATCTCCCTCAATGGGATATAGACACAGGCCCTCCTTCCTTAACTGAGGTTAATAAAGCAGTCACTAGTCTGAAACGAGGCAAAGCTGTGGAACCCGATGGAATGACTCCAGAGGTATTTAAGTACGGTGGAAACAGTTTACTGTCTGCCTTAACTAAGGTACTAGGCAGCGTCTGGGAATCAGAGGAAGTCCCGCCGGGTTGGTGTAAGTCATTGATTATCCTGACATACAAGAAGGGAGACAAGTCTTCCTGTGATAATCACAGGGGGATTAGCTTGACTAATATAGTATCTAAATTTCTAGGCTCAATAATAATGAGTAGACTACGTGGTTCTCGGGAGGCACAAACACGAGAGAACCAGGCAAGCTTTAGACCAGGAAGAGGGTGTATTGATCATATCTTCACCCTTCGAAAGATTCTGGAACATAGGCATACATACCGGCGTCCAACAATCGTCATATTTCTTGACATGAAACCGGCCTTCCATTCCGTTGACCGAGAAGTATTATGGCGATGTCTGGCCAGCTGTAATAAGATCCAGAAGGAGGGGGAAAAGATGTAGTTAAGTCAAAGCACAGCATCAGCCTATGAAGTTATTTTCCGTTGCTCTGTGCCATATAAAGAGATACAGATTACCTGTCTAGGATCTTCATGAAGTTAGGAACAGACCATTAAAAATTGTTGATGATATGGTATAAAATAGCTTAAAATGGTACAGATATGTTCACTTGTTGTCATCTTTGATATTCTGAAAAGCTTCACTAGTTTTGAGTCAATTATTCTGTCTGTTGCACATGTTTTTATTGCATGTATACCTTTCTGAAGTATGGTGATATGAGCCAATGCACTTTTTGTAAAGTTCTGTGTTATAAATCGTGACATTTTAAAGACAGACGCTAAAATCTGTCTGATTCCCTTCTGACCTACTTCTTTTTACACAATTAATAAATCCCACTGACTTAAATATAAAAACCAATGAAGTTTTAGCTCAGTCGAATTATTAGCTTCTTTTTAGTCAGGAAAAAAGAATCTTTGTGGTTAACTCAGGACATTCACTTTCCAATTAAATAACTTTAACTAAAATGCATAACTATATGACTAAAATAAAAATTAATTACACACTCCATACAGCTCAGAGATTATATCACAACTACAGAGGAAGGTTTAAATGTGTACCTTGAGTTGCAATCTGTGATTGTTTGGCATGCGATTCGCTCCCACCAAATGTAAGATGATGCTACAGGACTGGACTACTTTGACTCTTAGCTTAGAAATAGGGAGTGAACTGGTAGAGCGTGTTGACCACTTCACTTATTTAGGAAGTTGCATCAGCCAATGCTTGCGATTGATCGCTGACAAAATCTCAGCATGGGTACAAAAGGCTAGTTTCGCATATACCAGTTTACGCCGTCTCTGGCGTAGACGTGATATCCGGCTGGCTATCGACCAAAGGACGTGTGTACTGCTCAGCAATCCGCTTCGTCCTCCTTTATGACCGGCTGTGAGACCTGACCATTGAGATTGGAAGACATGAAAGGCCAGGCTGGCTGTCTTTGATCATAAGTGCCTGCGTTCTATCTCCCGTGTGAAATGGTATTGTAGGGTTAGCAATATTGAGGTTAGGTGTCAGTCGAGTGCTAATTAAAGAGGGAAAATCAATAGACGAGGCTGTGAAGTTACATCGATTGATATGATTAAGACACGTGTTACGCTCGCCTAGCCATTGCCTCACTCGACGGGCAATGTTAGCTGCTATAGGGTCAGGTTGGAAAAGAGCCATTGGTGGTCAAACCAAAACATGGCTTCATCACTCAATGAAATCCACAACAGTTAGTTTAAGTCACGTAGGAAGATGCAGACTTCCTGTTTGGGGTCCTCGAGACGGTAAACAACAATGAAGGCTGGAGACAATTGGTGATATGGCTCAAAATCGTTCTCAATGGCTGGCGCAGATGCATCCACTCTTTGTTCGTCGATATTACTATTCTTTTTGCCTCATATCTCTGTTTGCTGTCTCTATTTTGCGTTTCTTTTTACTTTCTTCTCTGGCTTTGTGTGCTGAGTGAAGTGTGGCGACTCGAACTGCTGCACATTGGTGCAAAGTTCTCTGTTGAAACCAGTCAGTCAGTATCTTAGTATACATTCCGTAAAAAATTTAGGTATTAAGAACAATTTACAAGTTTCTTCAAAACGACAAGACTTAAATATAAACTTATGCACAAAAGTCAGACATGGGATACCACAAGTTGACTTCGACTTTTTCTATTGACAAGCATCTGTCGGCATGAAGACTACAGAGAATTCTCCTGATATTGACGTAAATACAATTCAGTTTCATGAACCTTTAGTGTTTAAAAGATTGTCAGCTGCCTTAAAGTATGCTGTCTAGATGTGATTTAAAACAGATGAATTAATCGTATTCCTTATTCAACGATCTACTTCTTTACTAGGAGTTAGAACTAATGTAAAGAAAGATGTCCAAGAAGCGGCTTGTAAAATCTGTACAAAACAGAGGCATAACAGTGAAAAATGTAGAAAGATAAGTAAAATGTCCAGAATTTTTTTCATTATTCTCATTTAACCACTCACTTCATCAATTATCTTTACAGATGCTCATTATGTGACCTTAAAACCTTCTAAAAGTTTGTTTAAAATGGTTTTGTACTTAAGAGCCAACAGAATCTACTATTTACAGATATCCAAAACGTCCGTGCACTAGTGAATAAAAATGTGGCCAGAATAATATTTGGATAAAATGTGTCAGTTTTCTTGATGATAACTGAGAATTACCTTTGCGCACGTCTAAGGCGCAATGGCTGGGATGTCTAACGAAAAGAATGAGCCGAAATTAACAGTTTAGAATTTGCACACAGTCTAGGAGAATTCGCCTAAAACAGTTAAGGAGACAGAAGAACTGATTTATGCGCAAAAAGGATGACAGCCGTGAGTTTATCTTTTTGCAAAGACAGATTAACCTTGACCAGTAAGAAGATATTGGTGATATGGTTTTGCGCAAAGTTTTCATAAATAATAGCGTTAAGACCGCTAAATAAATAATCATTAAGAATTGGAAAATTCGAATAAGATCGTGTTTTATTCACTCGATTGCAACATGTGCAAGTTCATGGACATTTCCACGTATTCTAATCGACTGGTGCGAAACCCTTAAAGTTACTTCAAATAATTTACTACGTATGCAAAAAAATTTGATGCGATTTGGGGTAATTTTGGGACAGATGAGTGTAAACATTCTGAGGAAATGCATACAAATTCCTCAAAACCCAACACAACCATTCAGCTTCCTTAAAAAATAACACAGTTCCCAAAGATTCCGAGTTTCCCCAAAATTTCCTCCAAATTACTTATTAGGATACCTAAATTGCAGCTTTTTCCTGCATTTTCGGGTAAAACAGATTACTGAATTATCGCATGCTATTTATGGCAGAAATACGATGCCATAATGTCATGTGAAACATTGGAACTCAGGTAAAACCCATAAAAATTCCTAATCACAATTATTTACAAAATATTCCCAAATAAAATATTTTGAGTCAATTTTGAACTTTCTTTAAATGATTTCATGTGTTAAAAACTTATATACTGTCCTTGAATTAAAATTATAGGCAGAATCAACAATTACCTGTCCTAATAGCTTCTCTCACAGCTTCTACTTCTGGATTGAAAAGTTGTTTCGTCTTTTTAGCAAAATCCTCATTCATCGAACGGGCAAGAGAAATAACATCAAAACTTTTCGGTGGTTCTATCTTCTTAATTCTTACCTCTACAAGTCATTAAATTATTACAACGATTTCTAGGTTAACCTCCAACTGGTGTTTTGTATGTTCCTGGAATAATATTACCATCTCTGCCAGTAGGGAAAAATGGCCTGTCTGAGTCTTCTCTTGCCTAAAATATCAATATACTTTGGAAAACAACCTGTCTAATTCCCATTTGCTTGCGAGGTACGATTTTATTGTTTTTGTCCATTTTGAAACTGTGCGATTACTATCCAATATCCAATATCGTTTTCACTAGCTAGTATAAACCAATTTGACTTCTCTGTGCTCGCTTCTTGATTGTTAAGTAGAGGTTCCTGGTCTTCGGTAAACTTTTACGTAGTTCGTCTCACCATTCGACTTTCGTAGCTTTGGTTGACTCCAAAAGGAGTGGTGCTGGGATTAATTATATGTTGTTTCTAGTATGTGGTGTGTAAGGACTTTGTTGCATATATGTATATAATATCAATAATAATTATTATTATAAGTGTAGTAGTTGGAGTAGTCAGAGAATGTGAAGAAGTAAAACGACAAGTTTAATTGTCTACCCTTGAATGGTGTATGCGATTTTAAGGCGATAGGCCATTTGGATGCAGTCCTTGTGTCGCTGCATGGTTGTCCAGCCTTCGCTTAAAGGCGTCCACAGACGGTGCCATAGCTACATCTGCCGGTAAGGAATTCCAGGGACGGCAAACCCGCAGGGAAAAGAAGTGGGAGCGCACCCGGGTCCTTGCCCTCTGGTGAGCTTTACTTCTGGGATTTCCACGAGGAAGCCTATACCTACTCAATGGTAGAACGCCTTTGTTTAGGTGATTCTGGCCATTTGTTATCTTGTAAGCAGCAATCAAGTTCCCCCCAAGCCGACGGTAGCTAAGTGTGAATAGGCCTAATTTCTTTAACCTTTCATCATATGGTTTGTTTCGGAGACCAACCACTCCTTTTGTTGCCCGTCTTTGGACTCTCTACAAGAGGTTCACGTCTCCTCTAAGCAGTGGGGGTGAAATGATATCGTGCACTTCAAGGTGTGGACTGATGTATGTTTTGTACAACCTTAGAAAGAGCTCAGTAGTGAGTGCACCTAACTGTCTAGGTGTAAAGTGTATGACAGCATATGCCGTCGCTATGTCCCCCGTGTAATTTACGCTTGTGTCTATTTTTTCCGTTAGAATTACACTTAGTTCACGCTCCGACGTTTTGCAGGACAAGTTTTCGTTGTACAAGATGTAACTTGCATTCTGCAGCCTACAGGTGCGTAATTTCACTACTTTGCACCTTTCCAGGTTGAAAGTCATGCCACTGGCCACCGCCCAGTCTTCCAGAAGCTTTAGATCTGCCTGCAGCCTATCTGAGTCCTCCGGGCACTTTATCGCCCTCCATATCTTCACGTCGTCAGCGTATAGAAGAGTCGGGCAGCTTAGAAGGCATGGTAAATCATTGATAAAAATCGAAAACATCAGTGGTCCTAGGATAGAACCCTGCGACACTCCTGATGACGAGTTGTGTCAAGATGATCGGACTCGATCGACCTTAGTGCGAAATCGCCTTTCAGCTAGGTAGTCCTTCAACCATGACAGAAGTGGCCTACCTAACCTACCTGACTTATTTTGTGTGGGAGAAGGTAATGGCGAACTGTGTCAAATGCCTTCTCAAAGTCAAGGAAGACCACATGGACTGAAACATTCATATCCCACCATGATGTTCGATCGTCCCAAGTTGATAATAGGTTTGTTACACAGGATCTGCCTTTCCTGAAACCGTGCTGTGCTTCATGGAGCCTATTAGTCCAGTCGAGGTGCTCTCTGATGTGATCGCTAATTATACTTTCCAGCTCTTTCAATACCACTGGGAGTAGGGCTGCTGGTCTATAACAGGTGGGATTTTGCCTGTCCTCACCCTTGAAAATCGGAGAAAGGACGGCTCTTTTCCACTCCCTTGGCAGTTTCCATGAATCCATCGAGTGTTGGAACAAGCCGTGTAAGGGCCCACAGAGAGCTTTGGCGCACTGCTTCAGAACAGATGGCCTGATGTCGTCACAACCTGGGGACTTTCCAAATGCGAGTCTCTGTGGAGTAGCCACTGGGATTTCCCCCGGTGAAGTAGTAGTGCCGCCATTTTAGTCCGTACCAGCAATACCCACATTGCTGTTTAACTGTTTGGCGAAGGCTAAACCGAATGTTTCAGCCATCTCCAGACTAGCGAGGTATTAACCATTTGGACGTTGCACTGATTCCTGAGTTCCAGGTACGCATCATGGTCGGTCTGACTCTTGGATACTCGCCACGTAAACTAAGCCTTCCACTTTGCTTGCAGAATACGCTACTTACCTCCCTCCAGCCATGATGACCTTTTTGGCTGTGTTGTGAATAAAGGGACGGTACCCGAGATTGCTGTGTGAATAATTTTTTACCACCTTCCAGTGTTCATCCACAGATAACCATTTCATTCTGTAGGCCATTCTGCATCGGACAAAAACCCCGCATTTCAGCATAGTCCGCCTTATTATGACACAGACATGGTTGCGTAGCGTCCCACCGCAAGTGCTCACGGAGAACAAGATCGAATGCTATGACTGCATGGTCCCTACTTCCCAGTAGAGTCATGGTCAGGACCTTTTCGACAAGTAGTTGGTCACTGGTTAGAATGTAATCTAGTTTCGATGACTTCACATTAAGGCCCCACCTAGTGTCGGCCCCAACATTCTCACTCACTCTTATATTTCTAATGGTTTGCAGTAGATTTCGACCGAATTTCCCCTGAGCATACCCTGAGCCAAGGTTCACAAGGTTCAGTGATGGGGCATTAAAATCTCCAGCTATGGTGATTTGATCATAGCCCAAGTCCCGTATCCCTTTGATGGTGCTGAGCAGTAGCTGGTTGTGCTCTGCCCCACAGGTGGGTGCCGCCCAGTAAGTGTTAATGTGGCCTACGGTGAAATGGCACAATATGGAGTCTGGGAGTTCAGTAAGAGGTGGGTCTGTTGCACGTACACATTTAAGGTTGCCTGTCAATGTATATGACAACTACCCCCTTCTTTGTTATCCCAGTCTTTCCTGACCAGAACCATATCACTTATACCGATTTCGTTGTTGGCGATAGTGGGGGTTAGCCTGGTTTCAGTGAGGATTATTATTTTAAGGTCTAGGTGTGACCGGAGGTTTCTGGGTTCGCCTTCTTTCCCCGCGGCCCTCTCACACTGCCATGAAGTCAGCTGACAGTGAGTCTCACAACCTCAGTATGTTGAGGGGTAGTTGACGCTACTTTGTATGCTGGTAGGGGACTTGATATTGGGACTAGTTGGTCGATTCCGATTGAACCACCCCGTTGTCGTTTTTTCTCTGGGTTCGGGTAGGATGCTTGGATGACACTGACTATCATTCTCAGTACCGCACTCCTGTAGTGTCACTGAGGCCTGGCGACGTGTTAAGGCCTCAGTGTGCTGCCTCCCTGCGGTTCGAGGTCTGCTTTCGCAGCATCGTATATATCCTCCCAATTTACCCCTGGTCTCGAACCACCCTTGAACTACTACGGCAAACTGTTCCTGGGAGTTGAATCTGACACTTAGCAGCCTTGGGGAACTAATTAGCGTGAGATGAGCCGGACGAGGTAGCCGGAAAATCGGGATTGCCACAGAGGCACCAAGGGCCATGTCAGATGACAGCCATCTCCATTGCTGTACGTTATGCATGTGTTTTTCACAAGCAGTGCCAGTTTTCAGCTCCGGAACACCGTGTATGACCATAGAGGTAGAAGGCACCAGTTCCGGTGACTCCCTAACCATTTGCCTGTTAGCCCATGGCCTATCATGTCTCACTCTTGTGCTGGAACTCCTGTCGATAGGTAATACTTGGGCCGGTAACAGTATTCTTTCAGCCTCTTCGGCAGGGCCCAGTGTAACCCTTAATGTGGGTGGCTTACCCTGAGGTGTCTGGACACTCCTGTACAGTCTGTACAATTTTGCTGAATTGATGTTCCGGCCTAATTTATTACACAAATTGGACCACTGTTCCTGATCAAACACGGCCCTTTGTTCAAGCAAACTGCCAATGCACACGGGTACACTAAACAGGATAAGGGAATCTGACTGGTTGGCCTCAGACTTAGGTTTGGTTTTTGGCTGCTTATCCTCCTTTGTAGGGTCAGCCACTTTAGATTTCATCAGGTTCCCACCAATCTTTGATATGTTACCATGCTTGCCAGCTGATGCAACGAGTGCTTTGGCAATTCCATCTTCGTCTGATGTTCTAGGTGTAACCTTGGGAGTCTTCACTTTATGAAGATTGGTATTTCCAGTCGGTTGGGCTGGAGTATCCTTCTTACGGCTTTTACCAAGTTTTGGTGGTATGATGTTATCGGGTGGAGAGTTGCACGAGACTGTGTCGAGACACAAAAGTGGCATGCTGTTTCTGATATCTGAGGACACGCTGTGTGAGACTGTGCCAGGGCGACAAAGTGGGCAGATATACCAGAACCATGGGCACGGGTTATCTCGCATAAACTCACAATATGGTTTTGGCACCCCTTTGTCACAATGGCAGTGTGCCCATCATTTGCAAAAATTGTATTGAGAATCAGTTTTAGGAACGACAGCATTAGAGGCTTGACATTCGTCCCCTTTTCTAGATGACGCTATCGAGATCTTATGACTTCTTGAGTGTTTCTTTTTTGTTTTGCTCTGTGTCACGCACTGGCTTCCAATGGAGACAGGCGTAAAATCATGTCCATTTGTTATTTCCTGTGCTGTTTCAGTGCTAGGCTTTGGCAATGTAGGCGTAGTATCAGAACAGGCGAGATATACGAGGGTCTTTAGAATCGGTATGCGAGATGAGGTTGACGTCCCTGGGTTATTGCCTCCTTTGGATGAAGTCCTTGTGACTACAGAATATGGTGTTTTAGTGCTTTTCTAAGTCTAATTTCCACCGCCATATTAACAATCACTATAAATTATGCATAATTTGGAGCCTCACACACGTATTAACAGCTTTTTCTGATTTAATCCAATCTACCTATGAAGTAGTCATGTTTCACATCATATATTCCTCAACACAATATTAGCATCTTTCATTGGACTGCAAGGCTCCTCAGATGACTACCTTATTAATAATTTTATGAGCACAGTACTTACTCTTTTGACTCTAGGTGCACATCGTTTCAGAATCCGAAGTCCTATCCACGAGCCAATGCGGAACAAACAAGCATATTATTAATAATAATTTATATTTCGTATAAACGGG